TCAGGAATGAAGACCCACTGGCTTCTCTGGCTTCGTTGCTTCCATAGGAGATCAATGAGCAGAAGACGGAGGTTGTAAGAGTTGTAGTCGAGTAAACTGGTTATTTTCTCTGCTGCTCCCACCCCTGCGCCTGCTTCTACCACATTTCCTGTCATGACGTATTATAATCAGTGATGTCCCTCCCCGTGTCTTCCTCAGTGCTGTGTGTACCTCAACAGCAGGGACTATCTCTTGATGTCTTGATTTCGTATAACCTCCCAATTTAGCACAATGCCTGATACATAAGGACAACTCAGTAAATGATTGTTGAATGAATGAATAAATGAATGAATGAATGAAAAAGCCTATGAAAATAAAAGAAAAATATATGACTATGTAAAGTCTAAATGTTTGCAAAACTCAAAAGAAAATAGGCTGTATAAGAAGGAAAATATTTGCCAAAAATCGTTGGCTCGGTCTACATAGACATTCACCTCTCACATTGGGATAGATGCTGGCAGAGAGGCTCCACTCTCCTGAGGATGACTTAAGTCATCAGAACTCTTAGAAAAGCTTGTGTAAGATTTTTAAAAAGCCCATCTGGTATTACAATATCAGTGTGTATTTAGGGAACAAAATAACAAAACACAGAGCACACCTATCATTTTTATTACAACAATCTACAGAAAGTAAAGATTTACAAAATATTTTCAGCCAGAGGGTATATAAAAAAGATTGATTTTCCCAAGTGGGGGAGTCAAGCCCCAGGAGGGACACGAGATCTTTATGTTTATCTAACATGAGCTTAGGCTTTAAAAGGCTGGGAAACAATAACTCGGCATAAATTATACTTCTGCTCCCCGAGGCTCTCTGCTCGGTCTGGAGAGTTGCAGAGTCAACAAAACCTGAGGGCTCTATTCACAGGGTCATTTCTATTATTTACTCAGAGCAGAGGAGCCTGGGGAACTAGTCACACAATTCAACCGGGTACCTGAATTTCCTGAGCTCACTGGAGGATGTTTTATCTGCCTCCTCCTGCTCTAGGCATAGTACAGAATTTGATGCCTCTTCCTAAATGGATCTTTAACAACCACTCGCCCCTTTCCTCCAGTCCCCCCAGTGCACAAACCCCTGTAAACCTTCATCTAGGCACCTTTTCCCTCTCCACCTGCCATTTGACAACTAGATTCCAAGCCAGCCAATACTCTATTTTACCTACAGCTCTAATGGGTACAGCCTTTTCAGATTTATAAAGTGCTACTACATACATGATCTTTTTAAAAAAAGTGAGCAGCCCGGCGAGTGTGGCTCAGCAGTTGAGCATCGACCTATGATCCAGGAGATCGATTCCTGGTTCAATTCCCAGTCAGGGCACATGCCCAGGTTGTGGGCTCAATCCCCAGCAGGGAGCATGCAGGAGGCAGCCAATCAATGACTCTCTCATCATGGATGTTTCTATCTCTCTCCCTCTCCCTTACTCTCTTTGAAATCAATAAAAATATATTTAAAAAGAAAAAAGTGAGCAATTAACTTGAGAGCTGTAAGGTAGGTGCAGAAGTTGCCCAACCTGCAGGCCAGCAGGTAGATGGTTATTCCCCACTGTCTAGGAGAGGACCCTGAATCTCATCAAGTCCCTCCACCCAAGTACTAGTTTATAGGAAGCATACAGGATAGAGAAAAACACTAAATGATACAAGGGGATCCGATCAGTTCAATGTGAGAAATTTTACAGGACAAGTGACCTGATTTATTCAACAATTTGGTGTGGAAGAAGGGGGAGCAGAACTGATAAATGAAAAGAGACATAGGGACTAGTCCATCAAAGGCAATGTGTGGATTTTGCTTGGATCTCAAGTTAAACAAACTCACTGCCAAAAGACATTTGTCAGACAATCTGGGAAATTTAATACAATCTGAATATAAGATGATATTAAGAAATTGTTGTTAATTTTTTAAGTTAACCTTGAATTCATTTAAACATTATTTTAAATTTTTATAAATGGCTATTTTGTTATGTTAAACAAATTTGTTGTTTAGAGATACATACTAAAGTGTAAATGGGGGAAATAGTATTATGTCTAGGATTTGCTTTGAAATGCTTCAGCACAAACAAACAAAACAAACCAGGAGTGTGTGTTTGTATATGCATTCATCAAATAGAACTGGCAAAACAGGAACATTGTTAACTGGCTCACAGGTACCTACGGGCTTTTATTTAACCGATTTCCCTGCTGTTGAGAATATTTGAAAATTTCTACAATAAAAAGTAAAAAGAAAAAATCCTTAATTTTAAAAAGCAAGAGCGCAAGAAGGAGTTGACAGTGTTGAATTCTGTTGAGGGATGGAATAAATGAGTAAAATTGTGGTCACAAGAAATCTTGGTGAAGGTTGTTCTGAGGTCAGATGGGAGTAGAGAGGAATTTAGGACTGACAATGATTCGTTGTGGTTTTTTTCCCCAATGGGAGAGACTTGGACTTTTAAAAATCAGATGTGATGAGAGCTTGAATATACAAAAGAAGGAAAATATGACCAACAGGATAAGAGTCCCAAGAAAGGAGGAGAGGGTGAGATCCAATGGATAGTCAGGCCCTGGCCTTACACAGAAGGGGCAGTGACCCTGGTAGAAAGAAAAAAGATAGAGTGGATGCAGATGTAGGTACTTGGTATGTTTGGACCAAAAAGAGGAGAGATTTGCTTTCTTGATGACCTATGTTTTACTGTATAAAGTAGGAAGACATTCAGGATAGGAGGTGTACAAAAAACAAAATTTAAAAAAAAAAAAAAGGTCAACTTCAGGACAGAGTTGTTGACTAATTTATAGTCATGTATGTCCTTCCTGTGATGCCATCTGCCCCATTAGCACTCAACTGATGGGGTGCTGGCTTAGAGAAAGAGAAACACTGGGTGCATTTGAGTTGAGGTTTTACCTAACAGGATGCAAGAGAAAAAAAAAAAAAAAAGACAAGCAGTTTAAGGAGTTGACAGGCATTATTACTAAACTAAATGCAACTTTAGCTGGGTATAAAAGGAAACGGGTTGGTGGATTTCAAGAAAGCAGAAGAGTAAGGGATCAAAAGTTGCAAATGTCACTTAGTGAACCTGAAGGGAGGCTGTTGTGGTTGGAGGGGGGATACCCTGATAAGCAAGTTTGGAGGTGGGCATTTGTGGATGATATGATGAATCAATGGCAATGGGGAGTGGAGGAAGTAAACAATTAATTGGATTGCAAGTCCCTTCTCAGCATTAATGGCAGAAGCCAAAGAACTTCTTCACAGACCTCTCCAGAACATTTGCAGACCCCAAATACCACACTACATAGCACAGGGCACTCAGAAAGAAAAAGAAGCACTTTTTTTTAGAGCTGTCCTAGGCAACAGTGTACACAAATAATGTCTCCTTGAACTTACAGAATCCTTTTGCTTAGATAGCCCAGGCACTATTTTTCATCCTCACAATATTCTTGTAATGCAAAAAAAGCAACAGATATTAAGAACTATGGGATAGAAAGTTCCATATTTTATTAAAGTAGGGTTCCCAGAAATGGACTCCCATTTGTCTTTTCAAGGCTGGAAAGAGTTGGCCAAGAGATCTCCTGGGCAAGGAGGCTGGCCAGGACTCACAGAGCCTAATGCCAAGTCCTGATTCATGACTCTTCTTCCTGGTTGGTGAGCCCTTCCCGAAAGGAAGACAGACCAAGCAGAGAGCTGGCTCAGGGCAGCTGCTTTCACACGAAGGTTCCCTCCACCTTCTCTTGGAGCCAACCCCATGGCCAGCTTGCTATGGAGTGCAGAGGCTGCAATGCAGTAGGGCTCAGACCCTCCCCCTGTGGGTGCTCAGACCCTGCTCCTGGGCTGGCGTAGACCTAAGGCTGATATGCCCATCAGGGAGGGACGCTCAGCCAGGTCATGCCAAATAGTCCCATCTCCTTTCCTCCTTCCACCAACCAACCATCTATCTCCTACTTGCTCCCACTCTGTTCTCTGCTTTCTGCCACATTCAAGTTTGTGTCCACCCATGGGCCTCTTCTTAAGGTTCCGTTGGCAGTGAGGCACCAAGGAGAATCAAGGAACCCTCTGCAGAGTATTTGTCATCATTTCTTCCCAACAATATTTACAGCGCGGTGCTGTGAGCTAAGCATGAGCCCAGCGATAGAAAGCAGAGTAATGAAAACATTCATCTTTCACTTCCACTGGGTAAGGACAACTGAATTAGAAGAACTTGAATCAAAATAAAAGAAGAGACACAATTGACATTTAAATATGACAATATTGTTATTGCAAACACAAAGGGTGAGTCAAGCGCTTTACAAATGAAATGCTGCCTTCAGGGTAAATAATTTGTATCAGGGCTTTCAAGGCCCAGGGAGGCGAGTACCTCTCTGTGTCAGGAGGTGGCTAGAAGGGGCTGATGAGCCCCAGGGCCCACTGCTAACTGATGCACACACTGCAGATAAGCTCCAAAATCTCTCTGATCTCACACATACCCTGAAGGCCAAGGAAAACCTCGGAAATACTAATGTACTCCCATTAGTTTTCATTATTAATAGACACACCAACCCACAGGGTTATAATCTATATATCATGAACTATAGCCATGACTTGTCTTAGCAAGGTTTAACAACATGATAAATATTCTTCAAATCATTTTAGAATAATGATTATTCTTCCTGGAAATACTCAAAACATAATTTGCTCAACTGGAGAGTCTCACTTTTGCCCGGGGAGTTCACAGCATCATACTGGTGCATCACCTCCTGTCTTTCAGAAAAGTTCCAGCACAGCTCTGTTTTGTCATTGATTTCCAGGTCCCTGTAGGTCTCAGTCCTATACTGTGGCCTATGATTCAGTCTATTTTTAAGGCACGTATAAAAGCTTATCAATAAGAAAAACATCCTATCCAGGTAAAAACAACTGTACTTTTCAGTCTCATTTTCAAAGGCCAGGTTTAGTCTGATTACCAACCAAAAGGAGACTATATTTCACTCTCCTGTTAAACAAATCCATCGAGACAGTATCTGGGATTAGCATGGTTTCAGGATCTGTGCAATATTAGGTCCCTTAATGTCCTGGCCACAGAAGGTAGATCTGAAAAATTTAAAAAAAAGAAAAAAGAATATTAATATGATTCTAGGGGGAAAAGACATTGGTAGATCTTTTCATGAATGAGTAATTATTATTTTGTGAACACTTTTGCAAATGTAGTATTGATTTCTTAAATAATGCCTCTTGTCTTTAATTGCAAAATTTCAAGATGTACACATTTTTATACTAGTTGCAAATTTCAAATTACACGTAGGTTTTAAATACCACTTACAAAATTCAAACTACGTTTGAAAATGCAAGAGGGAAAAGTAATACTTACTCATATCCATATTTCCCAGATACATCTGCCACTATTTCTGCTCCCAACTTATTCCCAGAACGTCCAAATGAATGTTCCTTCCAGATGAACTCAACGCTTGTGATGTTGCCAACATTAACTTCTGCATCAATTAATTTTGTGTAAGTCATGCCTGGCTTAAGTGTTCCACTGTGAACAGAAAAATAAGACTCATTACCTTGCGCTGGGCATTCGCAAAGCCAAAGTGAAAGGCATCCGCGTGTGAATCGGAGGAGAAAGAGCATTTGCTGGCATTGGCTTCTAGGACAGTTATTCTTTCTGTTCAAAATGGTCAGCATCTCAGACGAGCATGGTTCTGAGGCTTGGAAGAGGGGGTGAGGTAAATGGGAAGCCTGACTAGTTGATTTGGGGGGATGCCTAGAGAAGCATTATCTTGATGAGTTCTCCATAAGGATCGATCTGGTCTTGGCTTTGGAAAATCAGAAACCAGATGTTCCTGACACCAGGAAATGATGATACTGTCAATGATGGACTAATCCACCCCACGCTGACGTATGAACTAGAAGACTGTTTATCAGTTCACCATGGAGAAACGCTTCCCGTTATTAACCAGAATGTTCTCCTATCTCTCCCTGGTAACTTCCTTATCTTTAGAAAAAGAATGGGCCAATCCAAAGATGTTTTGGTGGGCATGGCACTAGAGCAGAGAGAGGTGGATTATCTGAGGCACATGGCATATTTTATAGACGCCAGAATTAGAGATTTCCTTATTCCTGCTGTTTCCTTAGCCCTCTGCTGATTTATTGTCTGTCTCTTCTAACAGGAAGATGAGCTCCATCAGAGTAGGACCTGTGTCTATATTCTCAGCAGTTAGAACGATTCCTTGCACACAGTAGGCACTTAAGTGGTTGCTGAATGAATGAATGTTGCTATTTCCAGAGCTTGTTTTTTTTGGTTTGTTTTTTTCCATTAGATGTAGAACTAATTGATTTAATTACCAGAAGGCAATTTTTCTTCCAGGTTCTTAAGGATAATCTCGCTGACCTGCCTTCCCTCAGCACACCAGGCAGCCCTTCCTGCCACTGCCACTAGAAGCTCAAATAACAAACAGAATCTACGGTGAAGCCAGACTTGAAGCTTGTCTGGAGACTGGGCAAAGACTAGCACACAAACTCATTTAGCTGACTTCATTTTAACATAAGACATCTATTGTGAACCTGAAATGCTTAATAATCCTTGAAACAGGATTGGGTAAGTACGTAACCACATTACAAGCAACTTCTTTACACACTAGAAGTACAGAAATGTCCAGACATTCTCACAATCTTAAGAGGGGCAGGGACGGTATATTCACCCCCACCTGCGCCAGGCCAGGTGCAGGGCACAAACCACACAGCCGTGGGCAGTGTGTGCTGGGCATCGGAGTCACGGGCTCACGACTGTGCTGAAGGGCTCTCAGGGACAGGAAGAATGGGTAGGAATGAGGTGCTGAGACAGGGAAGGGTGTTTGGAACAAAGGAACAGCACAGGTGAAGATGGGGAGGAAAGGGTGGGATCTACTCAGTGCTGGGAGGTGCAGCCAGGGAGGTGGGCCTTGGCTCGCCTACCTGGCCACCGCCACCTCCTCCGTCTTCCCAGTGGTCCCGCCCATACGGAGAAAGATGCTCCCTTGAGTGGCATTGTTTCCATTGAGTTTGACAGACAACTTATGCCTCCAACCTTGAAAGAAAGAACATGAAGGGTTAAAATATCTGAAAAGGACGCTGGCCTGGGCGCTTTCCTGTAAAGGCAACTTCGTGGCTTTCAGGGTTAAAGTGGAACGAGGCTGGTCCTGTTCATGAAAAAAAGCTCAACTTGAGATCGTTTGAGTGAACCTGGCGAAAAGCTACATTTAAAAATACACATAAATGTTCCCATTTCAATTTTCCACAAGTAAGTAGTTTAATAATATCTTAGAAAGAAAATTCTTCGGTTTTCCAGGCGTTCTTGTGACTGTTTAAAGTGGGAGCCGCGTGCCCTCCGCAGTCCATTTGCTTCCTATTTTGGGGCATGTGTTGAGGTCCCCGGCCAGGTTTTCTAGGTGCCATAGTTTGCAACTAATCTGGAAAAAGTCTAGAAAACCTATTGGGCAGGAAGGTCTGTGCTGTCATCGTTACTCCAGAGGCGAGTGGCCCGTCACATCCTCTCCTGCGGGAGGAGCTGGCCACGCACAGCTGGCGCACGGCTGGGTCAGCACAAACCTGCCAATAGGATAAATCCCTAGGAAACGGGTAAGTGTAACTTTAAAAAAATGTAGAGCCGAACAGATTTTTCATTCTGAATTCTGTAATTGTCGCATGCTTAATAACACATCGAAAAAATGCAATTCTTTATAAAGTTATTTGAAAAGCATCAGAAAGGGGGAAAAAGTCCCACTAGGGAGAATTTTCAGTTCCTGAGTTAATTGTTGCCAAAGAATTCTCTTTCCCTCTTCAGCCCATCCCACAGCAATAAGTCTCCCACTGTCACTTCTCCAATGACACCACTGTCCCCAGGCTCACCAGCGACGAAATGGGTGCTCCATCCCACGAGCCCTTTGGGCCCGTCTCCTTTGAGCTTTCCGCATACCTGGTGCGGGGAACGACATACCCCGTCCCTTCCTCGTCGCCTTTCCTCTCCTGGCTCCTTTAGCTACTGCCCCACTCCTCAGACTCCTCTGCAGGGGCCTCTTTTTCTGCTCCTTTCTTCTCAATTTGAGACTCTTTTCTTGAGCGATAACATCACTGGCTTTTACAGCTCTGATTGCTGGCTAACTGAGGTGACTCTGAAGTCTCTGTGGCGGACAGCCACCTGCAGGGGTTGATCTCTAACTGTCTAGTGGGCGAGTCCTAAAGGCATCTCCAACCCCACGTGCTGGAACTGAGCCCATCAACTTACTCCAAACCAGCCTCTGTTCTTGTGCTACCAAGTGCAGAAAATGGTACATCACCCACTCAGGCAGAACCACCCTGATTCCCCACGCCCCGTACCCCTCAGATCCACTCCCCGGGTTCCTTCTGGAGGCCACCTCCTAACCCCCTCTGTTTCCTCTCACGTCTCTCTACCTTTCTGCTTGGATCCTACAGCAACTGTTCTTTTTCTTTTTTCTCCCAGCTTTGTTGAGATAAAATCAGATACCACTGTGGGATGTCAATGTGTGCAACGTGATGATTTGATATACTACAGATACTGTGAAATGCTGACCACAATGAAGTGAGCTCACACACCCATCCCCTCACACGGCGATGGGTCAACACTGCTCTCACAGGTCACCCTGCCTCCACCTTGACCCCCTAAGCCCTGCAGCCACTAACGAGAGTGATTTCTAAAAAAAAAAAATCTGATCATCTTGACACCCTTCAATGGCTTTCCATGAGCCCAAAGACAGAGCCTTAATCCCCACGTGCTGCCCAAGTTCATTCTTTGACCCGAGTATCTCTCTGACCTCATCTTAAGTACAAGGCTCCAGGTCTCTAATCACCGCAGGGGGTCTTTCAGTGCCCACCCTCTGATCTCCAGGCAATTCCTTCTGCTAATACTACTCCTGGGAAGGCTCCCCTGACCTGCTTGTGGAAGTTCCTCATTTGTCTGTCTCCTAACACAAGGTTTATTGAAACTGAGTTTTTTTTAATTTTTATTTTGTGTGTGTGAATCTTTCCCATTAGCCTAAACTCCCGTATTGTTCCACGTTGCATCCTCAAAGTCTGGCTCAAGGCCCACTTGTGTATAGACCCTCAGCAAAAACCGTCAGAATCTGAAAGACAAGAACCTTGAAGCATTACAGTGAACCGTAGCTGCACTACTTACGGGCAAATGGGGAAAGAGGCCCGGTGTTTAAAAAATAATATGCTCTATTAGGCTTCTTATTTCTGAGGTGAAATTTATCAGCAAAATGACCCATCGTTGGGCAGCCTTCTTTGGGACAATGGAAGCAGTTTCCCTGGTGACAGAAAACCAGAGGTAATCAGAAATACAATTAGAAATGTTGCCTTTTGATAAAGTTATAGTATATTATTAAACCTTTAGAATTTAAATAAAGTATATGCATTTATAAATGACTTAAGTTGCCTAACAGGCTACCCTGTCTGTTTTCAAAAACAAAACAAAACAAGACAAATACAACTGACAGAAAAAGAAAAATAGCCTTTTAGAAAACTGGGTGAACAGTGTGAGTAGACAACCCAGAGAAGGGGAAACTCAGTCAGTTACTACGTAGAAGATGCTCAGCCTTACTAGTTGTCAGGGACGTGCTAATTCAAACAACATGCAATTTCATACGCAGCAGATTTGCAAGAGCTAAAACAACTGGCAGACCCAAGGACTGGCGAAGACATCGAGTGGGGGATTCTCCTATGCTTTCGATGAGAATATAAATTCACAGGCGCCTCCGACAGCGATTTGGCAAAGCCCAATGAGGAGGAAATGCACTCGCTGGACAATCTCCCGTCCAGTGTACGCATCGGGGAGCGTCCCCCGCGTACACAGGAGACAGGCAGAGGGGCTTACTGCCGAACTGCCTTTAATAACAAAAACTGGGAACCACCTAAACGCACAGTAGTGGGGGGATGAATAAATTGTGGCCGATTCCTACAAAATATATAGATCTATATACATTGATGCAGACTTCAAATTTATAAATTCTAACCAAAAAAAAAAAAGCAAATCCAGAAAGATACTTACAGTATGATGCTATTTATTCTATATATGTCTGATTCACTTCAAATTCTCTCTTAGGGGAGGTGGTGAGGGAAGATAAGCTACTTCAATTCTTTAATCTTATCTGTATGTTTTAAAATCTAAAGCAAAATTAACAAGATGTTAACTTTAAAAAATCTTGGGTAGGCCCGGCCGGCATAGCTCAGTGGTTGAGCATCGACCTAGGATCCAGGAGATTGAGGTTCAATTCCCGGTCAGGGCACATGCCCGGGGTGTGGGCCTGATCCCCAGTGGGGGGCGTGCAGGAGGCAGCCGATCAATGACTCTCTCATCACTGATGTTCCTGTCTCTCTTTCCCTCTCCCTTCCTCTCCCTGAAATCAATAAAAAGATATTTTTAAAAATTATTATTATTTTTAAATCCTGAGTAGCAGTGTTTGAATATTTGCTAGTTTAGATTTTGAAATTTTGGATTTATAAACCATGGGCATTTGGGCTGGGACTGTAGTAAAATATCCCATTTAAAACTTCATTTTTAAGAAAGAAAAATTCTAACAAAAATAATAATAGCTCCTATTTTCTGAGTGCTGACCATGGGCTAGGCACTGGTCTAAGCACTTTATATACATTTAACCCAATTAATCCTCACGAGTTTCTGATTATTGTGATGCTTTCAGTCTCCCTTTCTTACAGGTGTGGGAACTGAAGCCTGCAGAGAAGTTAAACAATTTGTCCAATAATGCACATCTGGTAAGTGATGAAACAAGAAAATGAACCAGGGCGGCCTGATGCTAGAACTCTTTTATTTTATTTATTTTATTTTATTTTATATTTTATTTTATTTTGACTATTTAGGTAAAAATACAATAAAACATGTCAAGGAAATTGACTCGATGTTCTCTGAGTTTGCAACCATGACTCGCATCCATGTGGGACGGGAGTCCAAGGTTCTCCCACCTGGCAGGTTGAACCCCATTGTCTCTGACTGCACCATGAGCCTGAGGCCTGCTTCCTCCTGTATGGTAACCTCCAGGGCCCTTCTGCCACTCAGAGCAGCATCAGGGCCGGTGGAAGGGGGAGGTGGAGGGGAAGGGAGTTAAGGGGAAATGCCAGTGCTTGGCTGTCCAGCTTTCTGAGAACTGAAGCTCACCAGGGCGCAGTCAGAGTGAGGACCACAGGCTGGGAAACTGAGAAGACGGCCTGAGGGCATCGCTCACCTCGCTGGGTAGCAGGAGGGCAACGCTCCTTCCCTTCCCCACCCTGCACTTACAAGGTGCTGTGACTGACAATGAACTTCAGATGGAGCCCCTTCGATGCTTTCCTACCCTGATCAAACAGTCGTCTCTAAACACAAGAGGGAAACTCTTTCCACTTCCCACTACAAAACAGATCTTCTTTCCCCTTTTCATAGTGATAACCAAATGAAAAACACGCTCAGCTCCAATCCGGCACCACGTGCGTCGGGACTCAAGGAAAATCAGATTTGGTATTTTGTCACGTATTGATCTGTGTGGAGCTGCTCTGAGCTATCTCTGCTCCAGTTCTGCTCTGTATAAATAATTAAATTTTAATAAAATAATTTCAATGTTCCAACACATTTGGTTGTAGCTATTGATTGGTTCAGCTTTCTTGGGGCATCTTTGAAGATGACATTTAAAATATATACACAGAAAAATTTTTGCCCTGGACTCATTCCAGTTATACAGTAGCATCTAATTACTGCATAACAAATGGCCAAAAAGGCAAAATTGAATATAATGCTCAAAAGAGCTGAGGCAACCAGAATACAAATGGCTGGTTTACTGATTTAAGCCCTTCGGCAACCTCAGCTGCGGCGCAGTGCTCAGCACGGAAAGAATCTGCTATTTCCCAAAGTGGCAGGTGCTTTTTTAATTTTTTTACCGCAAACCCAAAGCCCTAATTTTGAGTTGGCTGATCGTGTTTCAACAAATGACTTGCTAATGAAATTCCACGGCGAAATGCTCCACTTACCGCTTTAAAAGACTCGTAGGATCTACAAGGATAAGCGATAAATGCGTCAGGACTGAGAATGCTTTCCAGGTAAAAGCGATGGCTGCGGGCATGGTTGCAGTCAAAGAAGGAAGCCACTTCTGCGAAGACAATTTCCAGCAGCGCAGGGTTAACTGACACTGAGAGCGTGAACCATTTCTCGGAAAAAGGAACTTGGTGTGTACCACCGGACACTGCACAGCATGTTTCAGTAGTACACAGCATTTCCTCTGTACCAAAGAACTTTTCGTGTGAATCTAAATGGACATTCAACAGGGCAAATAAACAAATGCAAACGGGGGGACTCAGGGCTGACACAGACGTCCTCCAAACTCCCCCGATCTCTGCCATCAACATTTAGAGCTCTGAGCATCCCTGTGCCTGCAGCATCTCCTCCGATCAATTAATTCTGTCTCGCTGTCTCTGCAGGAAGGCCCGGGTCCCCTCCTATTCAAGCACAGCACAGCCAGCTCGGGGACTGGTGCACACCTTCAGCTGAGCTTCTACGTGTGGCCAGTGGGGGGTGCTGTGAAGCATGCTAAAGGCAAGTCAGTTTTGTCACTGTCAGGCATAACATTATTGCCACCGTTAGCTAGGATTATTGCAATAATCAATAAGACAGATCTAAATACACTGTGCACTCTGAAGTTATCACAGCACCCCAGCCATCGGCGCTCTCTTGACCTTACTTGACATTTTTAACTGTAAGGCTGCACCCTCATTCCCATGATCTACATGGCTCGGCGGATCTTTAGGAGGCTAGATTTTGGTTTTAGTGTATGTGGTGAATCGCTGTTGTCTAACAGCAGCCTCCAGTGAGACACCCCTTTCTGGGTTCTCACCTTTCTGTAATAGCATGTTACCTACGGCTCCTCCCTTCAAGAGAGGGAGGCTGCTTTTTCACCTCCTGGGCTACAGGCCAGCCTCGCCGCTGGATTTGACCAGTAGAATGTGGAGGAACTGACAGTTCCAGCTCCGTCAGAGGCGGTTTTTGTCTTTTGCATTCATTCCTACACCTGCTGTTCCTAGATTAATGCCTGGCACATAGTGAGTGCTCAATACCTGTGTATTGAATGAGTGAAGCCTCCTGAGTTATTCTGAGTGACTACAATAGGTTGGACATGCTGATGGGCACTGAGGATACTAAGGCAGCTAAGACATGGACTCTGGCCTGGCAGACCTCGCAACTAGTGGGGGCTCCATACATGTGACTGTATTTTGGGCTAAAATATGTTTTTATAGTATATAAAAAGGGATGTGGGTGTTGTCCAAGGAGGGAGCTGCAAGAATGTGTAACAGCAGCCTTCCTAGTTGACAAAGCATTTACCTTTCTTGTAAGCGTTGAAGTCAAATGTTAATAGAGGTGTAATTAAGTCTTCACATCCTGGCATATGTTTGCCTCCATTTGGGTAAAAGTCCAGGTGTCCACAAGCGTTGATCGTCCCGGCACCTGAGATGGATAAAAGCAGGAGGAATGCTTCTGAAATTCTCCTCTTCAGTTCAGTGTAGCTTCTGTTTGTGTAAAAACTTACCGAACTCGAAGAGGAAGCGAGCGGCATTGGTGTGAATCACATCCACGAAGCTGGCATCCGAGGGGTCCAGCCTGACATCGCGGGGGGTGTTGTGGAAATACGGCCCGGCGGGGTCCAGCCCTAGGGAAAGCATCATGCCTACTAAGCCGAGGGGTGTTCCAGTTGGGGGGACAGCCACAGTGCTGCTGCTCTGGAAGGACAGGAGGTGAAGGCAAGGCTCTGTCTTCTAGGAGCGTTATACTGTGGGGCTGCAGAGCCTGGGAAGTGTGATCACCCCGGTTCCCATTCCTTTGCCACCACAGACACCTTGACCTTGGGCCTGCAGGCTGGGGCTCTGGAGCGCGGCCCTGCTCTAGGCACGTGAGCCGCATCTCCTCTTGTCCCACATTCGCTCCTGGTGCTTCACGTGCTGCTCAGATACTTCAGTCTCTGTGTAAAAAGTACATAAACACACCCAAGGCCCGCGCCCAGGGCAGGCTTACCAGTTATCCTCCCGAGGCCTGGCGTCCTTGACCCCGCCTCCCCCGCCAGGTGAGCTCCCAGGCTGTGGCCGATCAAGTGCACCTTAGAAGGGGAATATCCAAACTGCTTCTGGCGGGATTTTAAGAAGGAAAACAGAATCAGTATTTTTAAGAGAGCAGGTAGAATGGCTTACTATGCTTAAAATGAGGAAGGAGCTGGCTGTTTCTCCCTCACCTGCAGGATGGGGATGGCACGGTGACAGAGCGACATCCACGCCCACCCATGTCCTCATCAGCTGCAGGACAGTTCACCGGGCTGGCCGGAGGAAGCCTCCTGCCAGAGCCCTGCTCCCTGCACCAAGGGACCTCAAGGGTACAGGAGAGCAGCCCAGGGACCACGACATCTGTGGCTTCCAGCCCATGCCCATCCTTCCTGAGGCCTCCAACATAGGTCAAAGGCTACGATCCACCACGCTCCCGTCTGTCTCCACCAGCTTAAGGTGACCTAGCAAATGTCTGGGATGACACAGGACCTAGAGGCTCAGACCCCAGGATCAACGAGGAATTTCATAAAAACCTAGAACTGTTTTTCCTCAGAAGAGATTAGTCCAATTTCATTCTTTGTATACAAAGACCCACTCTAAGTGCCACCTTAAGATCTACTCTCCCCTAACAGAGTGGGGGCAGAGAGAGACATGTGGGGACAGACAGATGTGTGAGGCAGAGAGAGACACGTGGGGGCTGAGATGAGTACTGGGCTCCTCGATTCTTCTCCTGGCACTTTCCTAACTGTGCTCAGTGTTCCCATATCACCTTCCCTGGCCACCCACCTAACTTAGCTGCCAATCGTGTCACTGTCCGTCCCACTGCCCTGGGTTTCCTCACAGCACCGCACCTACACTCTGCCAGAGGAGACGCACTGTCGCGCCCACCGTGTACCTTCAGTGCCCAGAGCAGTGCCCGGCTTGTAGCAAGTGCAGAGTAAAACGTTTGTTGAATAAATAAGTGAACCCTCCTTAAGAATCTGAAAGGATCATGAATCTTCAGATTATACTTCACTGCATTTTATGGTGGGAAATTACTTTCTACAATGGCAGAGCATTTGGAAATTTATAAGCATCTCTGGGGATACTCCTTATAAACAGCAGAGCCTATTTTATTCTTTTAGAAAATGTGTAGGTTAAGGAGTTGTGCCTGGACTGGCCTACAGACCCAATTCACTGCCACAGAGCCCAGCTTCTGTATGAAAATGCACTTCACGTTCTAAACAAATAGCAATCATGAGATAGAAATGGTTACAGTCATTAAGGACAGGCTGACAACGTGATGGAAACCAACAGCAGTGGGCCTACAGGAAGATCCAGGCAGTGACCTTGGCGGGGAAGGTCGGGGAAGGTCGGGGAAGGTCGAGGAGCCGCGGGTGGGGAGCCCGTGAAGGAACACTGCCACCTAGTGGCGCTTTGCACAACCACAGGCACTTTCCCAAGAAATAACTTCCCCTTTCTGGCCACCACGCACCAGTGCTAAGCATTTCGGTACTTGTGCAAGCTAATAAAAAGAACAGAACATTGCTCCAAATTCTTGGTGATGCAAAACCCATTAAATGTAATTTAAAATAATAACTCTTCTTACCATGAGCACGTCAATAAAATAAGCCACCTCGGCTCCGGCGACACGCAGGTTGTTGACGGCGTGGATGTATTCCAGCGACCCGTTAATCCAGTCCACGTTGATGCAGTTCACGTCTTCCTGTCTCAGCAACACCTGGGACAAAGGCTCAGTATAAGTGTTAAAGAAATAAGGATGGAAGAAAACCAAAGTGCCCAAACGATCGAGTCCATAATCAGAAATAACACTAGCAGGGCTACTACATGCCAGGCCCTGTCCTAATCCGTTCACATACATGAATTTACTTAAACCCTCACTTACAGATATGGAAACTGAGGCACAGGTAGGTTAATGAACTTACCCCCGATCACAGAGCCTGTAAGTAGAACCATGATATGAATCAGCCTGATTCTGCCACACTGTATGGCCTTATAAATAATTCATTGCTGGCTCTGTTAGCAGAGTATTACTCTTGAGCGTAAGAGAGGAAAATTAATTTCTTGACGTGAACTTAGAAATATTTTTCCCTTAAACAAGAAATTGATCATACCAGTCAATTTTTGTTTTTGCAAAAGGTGAGAATTTACCAAAGAATAATTTAAAAAATATGTCCCCATTATAATCTACGCAATTTGTAATAGGTGCGAATAAATGGGGAATGGAACCAAGTGGAGGATTCCCATGAATATGCATTAATACCGCGCAAAGCACGTTCACGTTAAACGCAGACGTTCCGACTAAAGGAGAGTGTGCTCACAGCGTACATTGCACATGTCTTGCTGCCACTTTCCATCCGATTTCCACCCAGGAATGTTGATGCGGGTCATCTTGTCTGTCCTGAAGTGTGAGGCGTGGATAGTTCGATAATTAACGGCACTGATCTCCTGTTTCGAGTGAAAAGAGATTAAGGTTGAAGTAACAACTCAAAATTATTTACTATTTAGTAGAATTATTCTAAATCTGCTCCAAAGTCTTCCACTGAATTTAATGTTTAACAACCTTCTTTGATACACGTTGACCAAAGAAATAGTTACAGATACACATTGTGAAAATACCAAGAAATTATGAATGCATTATAAAACACAATATACAAATTCAATCACAAGGAAAGGAAATGAACATGTTTGGTTTGAAGGCAATGATTGTAAAACGAGGCTGGGTCAGTTTTCATGAAATCTCAGTAAGCCTTACTTTTGTATAGCGCTTCTCACTGACTGTCAATGTGATTCGGGGATTGTCTGATCTGAGACTTAGAAGCTACTAAGGAGGCGAAACAGATCGTCCCCCCCCCCCACTTTCTAAATGAAAAATACAGGTTAGAATCGCACACGAGAAAAACAGCAGCACACTGAAGACAATTTTATGTGCCTACGTTAAATATTCTTTTGCATCTCTTATGTTTTGTTGCATTGGTTTTACAGCCAAACTCTCAGAGACTTTAGAATACTATGAATTTAAGTAATTTTGTCATTAAGAGGAAGATGAAAATGCACAAGTCCAAGCAATTCTGTTAAGACCAAAATGAGTAATCTGCACACAGCCCGCCTGACAATAGCGAATCCTATCACTGGAAAGCCACACGTTTAGATTCTCAGGAAATTTAAACAAAGAGCCTATTGCTAGCCGCCTGTCCTACTAGCGATATGCCATTAATCACACAACGTGCTGGCAAAAGTATCTCCGAGACTGTAAGCAAACAATGAGAACCAGAAGCTGGTTTACACAGTAATTACAACAGAGCTGACACATATCTGTCTACGTGTCAGGAATCGTTCTGCGTACTTTACAGAGGAGCTCACTTAACCTTCACGGCACAGCGAGGTAGGTACCAATTTCGCAAATCAGGAAGGGGCACTCGTCCAAAAGTACTGCAGCCAATGAGTCCTGAGCCAGGGTTCAAACCCACATGATCTTTCTCTGAAGTCAAGAGCTTAACTGCTGGGCTCTGCAGTTATCTGATTGTAGTGTTTTCTACTGACAGGGCCCAGGCCAGATGTGGGATTCACTGAGGCAGGAAATAAAGTCAATTCTATTCAGGTTTTGTTGGAAGCACTCACCTGCTAAGTAATGAAACCCAGGGGCAAAAACCTTTGTCCATTTATGCACTTAAAAGAACCCAGATGCTCATTCCAACTCCAGCTGGAGCCCCCTAAACACCTACTATATTCCTGTTTCTACACCCCCCAAAAAAACTATTTTGGGGAGGAATTTGGTAGAAAAAGTTTTTCTAGTCTTTCCCTATCGAGAGAATAGTTTGATGAAGGGGGACCCCAAGCAAGTCTCAAAGTGGCAATCGGAACAGTATTGTGGGATCTGAGCAGCCTCTGTTGTCACAAGAGCCACTGGGGAATTTAATAAAGTAGAAAAGATACAAAAAAACATTTTGTTCACGTGTCGTTCCATCTGGCACACCCCTGTAAAGTGGCATGCTAACCTAGAGAATGGGAAATGCCAAGCATCATGGAATCAGAAGGCAACTGGGATTCTCTGCCACGAGGCGAGAAACTAAAAAGGGTGTCAGGGCAGAGAGGGCTAAGGTATCGATGTTTAGCTGGGTGCTCAGGCCTTTTCTCTTAACAGTCTCACCTTCGAGGAGTCATGGAGCCTAACTGGTACCAGATTAACCCATTCTACAGCTGCTGACTCCTTCCCAGGTCATCTCATTTCCAGTACGTCAAAACCAGTCACCACTTAGGTATGTTCCAGCCTTGACAATGGCTACAGGCACAGAAACTGCCATGGTCATGCCAAATGTGCATCACCCCGACCGTCGGTATGAGCCACTCTAGGCGGGAGTCATGGCTTCGTGGGGGAGGTGGGGCATCTAATTCTTGCGGAAAGCTAGCTGTGAAGACCTATGACTCTCAGAAGACCAAGTTCATGGCACCATGTTTCCCCTGACAGTTCCTCCCTCTGGGAAGGGTACGTTAAACCTTTGCATAGCTCACCTCTACTTTCTCATAAACAAAGGCAGTCAAATTCATACTGTACAGCATTTGGGTCAAGCCTAGGACAATCCCCGCTCCTCCCTTTTTTTAACTATAACGCTGTGACTCACCCTACGTCCTAGCTGTGGTTAAAAAACACTTTAACAGCAAACCCCCGGGCTTCTGTCCATTGCAAAACTCAGTTACAGATCCAGTGTGTCCTTCCCCAATGGAAGGGAGTGGAGAAGACCCAAGGAACGTTGTTTCTATGGCCCCTTCCCGAGGAAAGTACTTGGCTTCTGATGTTCTCTTCACCGCCTTAGGACCCAGCCTCGCCTTAGGACTAGCCTTCACCACCCTCTGCTTTGGGGGCCGTGCCCCACGAGGTTCAAGTGCATGACCATGAGCAGAAAGATGAAGGACCAGCGAGTCCCCTGAGGACAGAGGGTCAAGACCAGGAGATACAGTTAGTCCCGAATGGACATGTATACCTGAAACTCCTACACCGACAGAGGTGCCCAGACATTTGTATTCAGCGTAGATTCTCTTTACATTTAAAAAAATCATGGTAAAACATACATAACATAAAAGCTACCATTCAGACCACTCTTACAGGTACCATTTGGCGGCATTAAATCGGTCACATTGCTGTGCAACCACGACCACCGCCCCTCGCGGGAACTTTCCAGTCATCCCAAAGTGAAACTCTGCCCTCATTAAACACTAACTCCCACGGCCCCCTGCCCCTCGGCCCCCAGCAGTCACTATTCTCCTTCTCAGAGACTGTTCACAGAGACTATTCTGTCTCTAGGAACCTAACTATTCTGGGCGCCTCATCTAACTGGAATCCCGCAGTCTCTGTCCTTCCGTATCTGGTGCATTCAGCTCAGCAAAACGTTCACAAGCTTCATCCGTGCTGTAGCATCTATCAGAACTTCATTTCTTTTAAAACTGAGTCATATGTGAAAACCGATCTTTTGGTAACACTTTGGCAGTTTCCCGACACTCGCCACGAGGACCTTTCCCCTTTGTTTCAGGTGGAGCTGCCACCTGCAGAGCGGACGCGTATTTTGGTAACGAGCTGTGTGTACACAGGCGCGTGTGTGTCTGGTAAGGAGGCGGCTACGAAGCGGGTTATGTTTGTGTGCCTGGAGGCCCAGCAGGAGGCCGAGTGCTGGTGAGGCCTCCCTGGCCTAATGGGGCGGATGGAAAGCCCGCCTCCAGGTCACGGGCACAGGTAAAGACTGAAGGCGACCTTGCCGCAAGCAGTGCTCCTTCCCTGACCCCCTTTCCCGCCTGCTCCCTAAATTCAGTGCTCTGCTGGGCCTAGTCTCATGCTTTTTCCTGTGGCCCTGGGGTGGCATGCACTCTCTGGGTTTCAACGTTCACCTCTGGGTAAAAACCTTTCTAATTCAGCGCTGGACAGCCCCTTAGGCTGAAGACTAAAATCTCCAAAAGGCTGACCAAACCTCACTCGTCTAAAATTTAACTCAGTCTCTTTCACCCCCAATTATTCGGACAAGACGGTCATTATTCTTCTGATCACTCGTGTGTGAAATCCCAGGGCGGTTTCTAACGTTTGTCACGTCATATACACTCACAGTGTGTCTGTCATCACTCACACTCGGGACGCTGGTCCAGGCTAGCTCCCCGCGTCCGGGCCGCCCGCACTTACAGCACTGGAACCGGCGCAGAGCTCTCTGCGATCGTGGGCCTAGTCTACACGCGCACTGTCCCATATGGTTGCCACAGCCATGTGTGGCTAGTAAGGACTTAACATGTGGTTGGTGTAGCCGAGGAACTAATTTTTAATTTAACTTAATTTTAATAACCACATGGAGCTAGTGGCTCCTGTGTTGGACAGCACAGTGTTAAGTGGCCTGGCTGTAACCTGCAGACTTTCCCAGCTCCAGGCAAGAAGGTAACTAACTACTCTTAACGGGGCCTCATGGCTCCGAGGGTGAAATCAAAGCCACAGGAAGCGGTTACACAATTCGTTTCCTGTCTGCTTTCCAACTAATTCTACAGTTGAGGACTTCTGTTCCGTCCCCAGTCTGACCCAGTATTTGTCCAGGTCACTTCCTTTGCCATTTCCCTGCCTCTCCTTATAGAAACCCTGCCCACGCTCAGGACACACCTCAAATGTGTGTCCCCCTCAAGTCCTCTCCTGGTCACCACCTCTACCCCCAAGGCGTCCCTGAGCTCAGATCACAGGTCATAACTGGTGCTGCAATAAAGGTGTTTGTTTACAAGCCCCATTTCCCCTCGGAGAATACACTTAAGACACTGTCCTGCTTGTGCAGCTTAACACATAATAGGTTCTGTGTCTTGATCACGCTCTCACATGTGGAAGGCTCTCGATGACTATATTAACTGGACAAAACACACAATCTACCTCATATGAAACAAGCCATGCAGAGCCAACTTCATATTTACTTACTAGGACAAACAGCATGAGGAAGGAACCTGGCTCACAACTGTCAAGAGAAATACCTGCCTCGAAGCCAAGAGTTTACGGCAGATGGGCAACGGCCCCTGTCCTCTGCGTCTACAGCTCGGCCTCTCACTTCAGACAACCTACGGCGAAGGCAGCCAGGCGCTTACCTGAGGGGCCTCGCGGCTGTGCCTGGTGTAGAGCAGGAAGCGGGTGTTGATCTCCTCTGGGGACCAGGGCAAACTGGTGAACTGCCGCGACAAGGTCCCTGTCCACGGTGGACCGTCTCGAAAGCACCCCACCCTCTCATAGCAGATCTCTTTTCCTGCAACGAAAGGTGGAGTGCCCGTGTTGCAGGAGCCGGGCCCACGCGGAGGCTGCGTTTCCCACTCTGAAGGTTAACTGACATTAGTCTTTGAGTTGAACAAGTCGGATTCAGGGAGCATCTCTTCACAAAATGCACCCCCATTTATGACCATGACCGTGGAGATCACATGCTGCAGATAAGAGCACAGGCTTTGGAATCAGACATTCCTGGCTTTGGGTAATCATTTAGCCTTTTTTGAATCTCACTTTCCTCCTCAGCAACATGGAGATAATACCACTTACCTAGAGTCTTGTTATGAAGACTAAATGAGCTGTAACATGGGAAAGCCCTTGTGACTGGGCCTGAGACATAAAGACATTAAATGAGATACTGTGCCCTGGCCAGGCAGCTCTGCTGGTTAGAGCATCATCCCAGCACACCAAGGTTGCAGGTTCGATCCCGGGTCAGGACACACATAGCAAGCAACCAATGAATCATAAATAAGTGGAACAACAAATTGATCTCTCTCACTCTCTCAAATCAATAAATAAAAATTTGAAAAAATAAAATGCAGTACTTTCTTCCCTGAGCTTCTACCTTATGGTGTTAGACTGAAGGCTCTTGATGAGAGGGATCCCTGTCCTCAGAGCCCAGCACCATGCCTGGCACATAGCAGGAGTCTGATGTACGTTTCCTGAGATTATAAATGAGAGCAAAATTTCACTTAGTTTCCACCAAGTTTCTTCTTTCTGGAGCTCACTTTACTCATCCCTAAAATGAGAGATTTTGGGGAAACCAAGTCCTCATTACCTCTGTCATTCATTGACTCGGATTTATCCTGTCACTATGACCTTTTGTTCTCATTTTCATTTACTGCTCAAAAACAAAACTTTGTTTCATGCTGTTTTATGGAGGGATGGTTCAATTTATTCAATTATGATCATAATTTATAATTATTCATTATTAGATTATTCAATTTATGGTTATTGTTTATTACATTTATTATGATCTCACCTCATGATCATTTGTTAGTATTGGTTAGAGCTGTTTGAAGACTTGAATTTGAGGATTTTCTTTTGCCACTTAACAAAATATTTATACTAAATAAGCCTTTGACTCTCAAATCCACCAGCTTTTTAACTTCAAAATTTTAGGAGATTTCACATTCTCAACGATGAGATCCCAACGATGTGTATAAAGAGGAAGAATAGGAAATTAAAATCATTTTTAATCAAATAAATGTTTGTACATTAAAAAAACTTGTACAGCTGAGTAACATCCCTTGTTCACCCCCGACCCCAGCCCTCTCCCCGGAGCCAAGCACTCGAAACCTGAGCGGTTCCCGTGGTTCCCCTGTATCCGCGCACTGTGCCCACACAACCAAGTTGCAATTTATCAACTTCAGTCACACATGATCGATTAACTTGCTGCGATAATCGATAAAGATTTAACCCACCTATTCCCTGGACCAGCCTAAATTAGGGAGACAGAATCCACGCCAGCTATTTTAACTGTGAGGGTCTAATGAAACGGTGGTTATTAATTAGGTTTTGGAGAACTGAAGACAACAGGGGCCCCTGTAAGCAGCTCAGAGGGAGTAACCGCAGGGAGCAGCTACCAGCCCTGGGCGGGTGCAGAAACGGAAGAGGCTGAGTTATTCCAATGTGGGAACTTGGGGGCTGGGCCGCTAGAAGCGGGGATGCTGGTTCTCCGGAGCTGGGCTTCTGGCCCTGTGAAGGGGTGTTAGCTTGCTACTGTGCGGGCATCGTGAGTCTGGTTCTGGGACTATCAGAAAAACTGTCAATTGGAACCTGGAATAATGACACTGCTGGAATGAAAAGCCATTGATGGGAAAACCAGACAGCTCCCTTCTCCCCCCGGGGCACCGGCGCCCCCTCGGGTCCTTGCTGACAATGCCTCTGCTCTGCGCACACGCTGAACGCCTGTCCTGTCCCAGGGCCAGCAGAGCAGGGCCCGGCCCGAAGTCTCAACTCCTCCTGTACAATCAATCCGTTTCCAGCTCATTTACCGGCTTCCGCTGTAAACCTAAAATAACCATCGTCTATCTCGTGATCCGTACCCCGAATTCAGCCCGACCCCCCAGCCTTTGCAACCTGAGCTGTAAAGCGCGCTCCTGTCCCTCCGGTCCCCCTTCCCCTCCCCAGGTGTCAGCCACACTGTGAACACTGGTAACACCCAGGCTTCGCTCTAGCATCATAATGAAGTCTCCCGTGTTTTGTCTGTAGGCTGACTCCAGAAATCAATAAACAGAATTTATGTGATTATGATAACTATTTTTCCTTCCAGGGCCAGCTAGCTGGCTATAGCGACTCCCTTCTCCGCACGTCTGTTCAGACTCCGCTCCCTTCAGAGAATATTGAAATGAACTCTGTTTTCTTACGTGGACTGCTCAGGCCTGCGGGGTCACTTTCGTCTGCTCCCTGTTGGGACCGTGCCTTTCTTTGCCGCCTGTTCCCCGGGTTTGCTGGTTGCTTTTGTTTCCTCCTGCTGGAAGCCAAATGCGCCGTCTTCGGAATATCCGCGCAGCCGTGTGGCTTCTCACCGATGCATTCCCTGCCTGCGGCCCATTCTCTTTTTTCTTGAGCACACACGTACCCAGCTCTAACCTGGAGCCATGACCTCACGGATGGGTTCTGCCTTCCTAACACAACCTTCCGTTTCTCCTAGAATGTCCAGCTGCCTTTATTTTTTGCATGCCATGGCTTTACCCCCAAGTTCTCAATCCTATTATCCAGTGTAAGGAAGAAGAGAGTTTGGATTTTTGAAATGAAGGCTGTCGTAAATGTGGCATGTTATCTATGTTTGTGGCTTATCAGGGCTATTGGTCACCGTGTCTTTTTTCCGTGAGAAAATACTGTAAAGAGGGAATAAAGTTAGCGGCAGCTAGATGCGATGGAAAAGACTGATCAACATCATAGGTATTAAAGCCACTTAGGGGAAAAAGTAACACGTTTGCTATAAAGTTAAAAAGTTGAAATTGGACCAATAGCTTAAATGGCCAATATGACAAAGGACAGGTGCGATATTGAACTGGGGTGGTGAGAACAGACAAAACCTATAACCTACACAGTAAATGCATCAGCAGCGCACAGCATACAGGGCACAGGTCATTGCTGTCTCTCTCTTTCTCTCTCTCCCTTCCTCTCTCTAAAATCAATGAAAAGCATATCCTCAGGTGAGGATTAATAAAAAGAAAAATGAAATATCCACAGACCAATATTCCTTCTCAAAATCATGACACAAATGGAAAAAATCAACATGGAAGTTCCAACCAGCATGAACTATTTCATGCATTAATTTGTTCACTCAAACTTTTATTGAGCATCTACTGTGATCCAAGTACTAAAAGCAGAAATACATTATTTTCCCATTTACTGTCACATATCCATTTTGGAAGTGAAAAAACTGAGACTTCAGTGGGTAAGTTACTTGACCAACGCCATAAGGCTAGTAAATGGCAGATCTGGGAGCCAAGTAAAGACTATCCAGTATTTTTTATAATATTGGAGATCGATGCTTCACAATTGTTCCTCAGATTTAGTATTACAAAATGGATGCCTTTTCCTTAATTTTATGACAAATAAATCAAGGTGTAAACAGAACCCATGTCAATTACATTTCAGATGTGAATACACTTATTATTTTTAAGGAATTTATTATAAGTTATGAGTCTTACCTGTTGATGTGCCAAAGATTAAGACTGCAGCAATCCAAATTCCAAACATCTAGGTTGATTTTTTAAAATCACCAAAAAAAATTTTCTTGAAGACTTTTACTTGTAAAAATCACCTTGATATAAAATTTTCCACAGTTTTCTTCAAAAAAGGACACCACTCACTAAGTTCTCAGGCCAGAGGAGCAGAGCTAACAGCACCTTGAATTCTATGCCCTGCAAAGTGAATGTTCCGTAGCCAGACTCCTAGCCTCACGTTGAGATAATTAGTGGGGTGTGTCTTGCATTGTGTGACTGGTAATTAAAACTTCTGAGGCTTTTCTGTTTCCTCATTAGTAATATTTTGGTTAGGCACAGACTGAGTCACTCTTGAAAGTTATTTTTAAGGCTTTAGGATGCTAGATCACAAACATTTAAAAAGGTAAAAAATTTCCAAACCAGAATTATACACATTGAGCATTTCCCCCCTCGTTTTTGAGTGTGACCATCCACTCGATACAAGCAGACCCTGATAAAATATGGGTTAAATGATAAACGTGCCTAATCTGCCTGACCCACCCGTGTGGTAATACATCATAGCAGTTGCTGTCCTCTACTCTAGGGCCCGATCACCCGGGTCCAAATTCTCGTTCTGCCACTTATTAGCAGTGACTTTGGCATAGCAAGCCTGGTCGAGCCTTTCCTCACCTGTAAAGTGGGGTAACCATGGTTCCTAACTCATAGGGTCATTCAGGTGATTGAATTTCGTCGTCTACGATCAGTGCCCAGTATACAGTAAGTACTACATTCGGTGGTGCTCATTTTATTACTGTCAGTTTTCAATTATGCTAATGGTTGTAAGACCAAATTCATGTTCACATACAGCTAAAATCACCTTAACATCGTTGCACATGGACTTCATAATGCACCTGGATATAAAGCAAATTTGCCCTTTTGGCTACTGTTAATTTAAAGTGAACAGCAAATTCTATCCACAGATATCCTTAGAACATGTCTCAATGTTTAAATGTTCACAAAAGGTGGCTGAAGGCATTTCTTGGCTTTTCTTAAATTTTCCCTCTCACCATAGAAACATTAAAAATTTTAAGTGTTGCCCGGCCGGGCGTGGCTCAGTGGTTGAGCGTCGACCTAGGATCCAGGTGATCAGGGTTCGATTCCTGGTCAGGGCACATGCCCGGGTTGCGGGCTCGATCCCAGTCAGGGGTGTGCAGGAGGCAGCCGATCAATGACGATTCTCTCATTGATGTTTCTATCTCTCTCGCTCCCTTCCCTTTCCTCTCTCTGAAATCAGTAAAGATATGCTTAAAAAAAAAAAAATCATACTAAAAAAAAATTTTTTTTAAAGTGTTTATGAGGCATTCAACCTTTTCATACAAGCCTTATGACATTATGAGAGTCAGAGAGAGATTAGGAGCAAGGGGAGGTTCAAGTCTCGGGTGCTTGACTTGGCTGAGACGTTTCCTGGAACCCATGGCCGCCAGGTACCCGGTGCGCAGACACACGGTGATTAGGGAATGAGCTGGGGCCAAGAGGGCAGCAACAGNGTGCGCAGACACAGTGATTAGGGAATGAGCTGGGGCCAAGAGGGCAGCCACACAGCTGGAAGTGAGAGCCAACAGGCCTCCCTCGGTTGTTCTCTCTTCTTTCAGTGAGCACTTGAAGAACTCAGCGATATAGGGGAGTCCTCCCTGCATGCTGCAGAGGTAGAAAAATTTACAGGTTTTCTTTCTCTTTTTATTCTTGAAGAACAGGTTTTTCTCTCATGAATAATTCTTCGGATGCAAGTCAAGTGGAATTTAGTGGGTTATCTACCCTCTCTGGCTGTTTCCCTTGTGAGCCTACGGGGGTGATGGTGCCACGTCAGGGTGTTTTTGCGTGAACCCAGCGCAGATAAAAGCGTCTCGCAGACAGACGCGTAGGCCGGAGGAAGCCCCGGCCCGACGCTGGCCTCACCTCTCCCCCCGAGGAGGGCTGAGGTTGGCCTGCGGGAATTCTCAGTGGTTTCCTTTAAAAACTGCCCGGTATGTGGGGGCTCCCCTCTCTGGGGGAATCCCAAGAAGTCTGCACTTTAGAAAACTGTGGCTATGTTCTTGTCTCTAAAGGCTCAAAGACGGGGGGACGAGGGGAAGGGCCTAGAGAGGGTGAAAATGAGGGATCCGCGGGTCCAGGCCCCGGGATGGGACTCTGTGCTGTCAACTTGACGTTCAGGAACGTCCATCCCCCGAACTTCGTATTAGATAGTGAGTGCATCTAAAGTGTTCCCGGACCCCCCAAAGAGGGAGGGAAAGCGGGACATGAGGAGGCAGTTGGCTTGGGAGGGAAACGGATGGTGCTTTTCAGGATGCCTAGTACATGGCGATACCACTTTGTCAACAATGACATCTCTAAACCCCAGGGAATGACCATCCTCCCTGTATTTCTGAACCCAGACACTGGTGAAATATCTACCAAAGAAATATTGTTGTAAAGTATTACTTTGTGAACTACACACTATAATTAGATAGTCATCACATACTTGTTAAATTATACACAATAAAAACACACATAGCTTCAACACAATTCATTATAATTACAAGTTACTCAGGGCTACTTGAACTTTCCAAGTAGCACATTTCTCATAATAGGGATATACTACACTAGGATGTGGTATATTAAAATTACACTTTGAAAAATTAATTTAAATTCTTTCACATTTAGCAAAGAAATCTGAATGATGTAGTAGAGGAAAACATAACCATCCAAGAGGCAATTGCAAGGAAAGGAGAAGTTGGGAGGATTTGTACCTGTGTCTAGAGTTGGCAAATCATGGTTGGGACATCAACACAGTTTGAAAAGACGTAAATTCTAGAAGCAGGCTCTCATGGAAGGAACAGAGTATGGCGACTTGGAGCCTGGATTTCAGAATTGGATTTGGGCTCGGAGCCAGGCAAGACCTCTTTAGCTGTGTGATCTTTGGCCACTTACTCAATGCCTCTGAGCCTTAAATTCCTCATCTGTGATATTGAGATTATGTACCAGGGGAGTAATATTGTGAAGATGAAATGAGATCATGCTCATGAAGACCTTAGCCCAGCACAAGGTAAACAGTAAACATTCAATAAATGGGAGCTCCAATAATGATCGTTATTTTCTTAGGTCCAACCCAACCTCCTGTTATGTCAATGAATGTCACTGAGAGAGGCTGGGCTACTTGGCCAAACAAGGCCAGGGGAAAGGCAGGACTGGCAGCTGGAGTCATCAGCGGGTAAGTTCCGTGACAGAGTCATGACGACAGGGAAGTGGGGATGGGAACAGTGTGTAATTATGGAGGAATGGTGGGCCCAGCAGAAATGAACAACAGGGAGAGAGTCACAGAGAACAGGCTGGTTAGGAAGCGTGATTAATTGGTTACATGGAGGCGAGGAAAGGGACGACTGCTGGGCGGGGACTTCAGGGAGAGGAGGAAGGCAGGGTGCCCACGTCTGGGGAGCAGGAGGTGGCTCACAGGCGACAGCGCACGGAGGCTGCTGCCAGGTTCAGCGCAGGGAGCTTGTTCCTGGGAGGTCCTTGTTTCGTGACCGACAGCATTCCTCACCCAGGCTAGAAGTTCTGTCACACGCTTCCACTCCTCACAGCAAGCCGGAGCAGGAGCAGATGAGTGCAGGTGCAGCCACAACTCACATGCTCGCCCACGAAAGGGTTCCTGGGAGTTTCAAGGCTCCCCACTAGTGCAGGCACTTTCAGGCCCTTAGAAGGGGGCTCGGTAATGTTTCATTTGCTAAGATATTTCTGCTGCAATTACTTGAGACTGAAGTCTCTGCACTATGGCTTCTTTTCCATCATAGTTCCCCTCGTGTGGGTGGTGCCAGAGCAGCCGTGGGCATTTCTGCGATCCAGCTAAGAGAGACTTAGGGAAGCATTTAGTAATAAAGAGACTGACTCCATTTGCTGACATCTGAAGGCTGACGGCTGCTGAGCCTCACCCTTACCTCCTTCCTTTCCACCCTTCATCTGGGCAAGCTGATGAAAAAGCCTGGGTGTGCCCCTTTGGCACAGAAGGGAAGGTCAAACCACGCAAGCCCCTGCCCATGTGTGTGGAGCCCTTGCCCCAGCCCCACATCCTAACCACCGACGCCCCAGGCCAGCATCCTTTCTCTCCTTTCCCCCACCAGCATGGGAGTCTGCCCTGATCTCCCCACAAAGACTCATGAAATAACTAAGGAAACTTCTTATATCCTCTTAGCGTGTGTGTAGCATCATGAAGCTTGACACCCAAACCAAATTTTAGGTGGGGGACCAGCCTGTCTATTCAAGATCATCAAACCACATCAAGTTTGGGTTTTAACAGAAACACACAGGTCCAGGCACAAGGATCTCCATTCCGGATCCTGTGCTGTAGAGGCCTCTGGTCAGCGAACACTCACCTCACCTGTCAGCTACGGGCATACAGGTGCGTGCCCCTGGCGCTCAGTGCAGGTGGGCACAGTGGGAGAGTCTCAACATCCACTCTTGGACCAGCACTATTCAGACCCAGGTAAACACCTTACACTTACTGCCCTGTGTCCTCAAAATAAAAAGTGACTCAGGCTCAGTGCTATGAATCTCCGTGGGTTGTGTCATTAAAGGTGTCAGAGAGGTTGCACTGCTTTGGGTATGGGAGGGTCTGAGTGCTGGAAATTCTTAGATTTTTTTTAAAAAGATGAACTAATGTACTTGACAAATCTTTCCTCTCAGGCAAAAAGACTGCTGGATGACTAAGCATCCTTTCCTAGCAATGCCTAATACTCGCTTTGCTCTTTCACTTACTATTCCCTGTGGGATTTCAGAGTTACTCCCAAAGCAGCAGTTTTGCAAAAGCTGCACAGGGTGGGGGAGGAACACTTTATAATATTAAGCTTACAAAATATATATATATATTTAAATATATCTTTATTGATTTCAGAGAGAGGAAAGGAGAGGGAGAGAGAGAGATAGAAACATCAATGATGAGAGAGTCATTGATTGAGCCCCCAACCCGGGCATGTGCCCTGACTGGGAATCGAACCCCGATCGCCTGGATCCTAGGTCGACGCT